ATTACATGAAAAACCTGGAAATCGTTAGGTAATTAATCAGGTGATGCAATCAAAAGAAAAGGAGAGACTATATTTATATACATGCAAAAAATCATATACATTTACCAAGGTAAAGAAAGGTTAATTACAGTCTCCTTATGAGTACATAGGCCAGTTTGAAAATGTTTGATAGCATGAGCTTACGCAAACCGTAATAAACATGTTCTTTTTTTGTTGATTATCCTGAAAGATTGAGAAACATCTATTTGATGTTGTTTTCATCAGATTTCTGGCAATTGCGCTTTTTTAAAGACCTTGTTACCATTCAGACACAAATTTGTCGGAATATAAAATCGAGTAGGTACCCTTCTTTCAGTCCGTCCTATGTTCTTGCTTCCACGAGCACAGGTGAATTGATGTTCGCAGTTTATGGTGACATGAGATGGGTATTAGTCTACTTTCAACTGTGTTGTTGAACATAATGTATTGTAAGCTGAGATCAGTCTGGTAGCTGGGAAAGTCCTTCGCAGTACAGCTTTTATTCTTCTGTCTATTCTTTCAGACGTCTCATCACCTTTAAATGCTAGGCGAAGGAAAACAGGCTTTTTCTCAACAGTTCGATGTTTTGGTCTCTCAATAAATTCTTCTTTTCATGCTTCATGATGAATTTCTTCGGGCATCCATTCTCTATAAAAACCTTCTAAATTATGTCGAATTCTTCTTCTTGTTTAGAGCACAGCCTTTTTATTCTGGTGAGTAGTGTCCTGACTAAACCACGCTTATAGCTGACAGGACAAAAGCTATTGTAGTGAAGATACTGACCAATCCATTTATCTTTTCTGTGGATAGTTTTCTCAACTGTACCACCACATCTTTGTCTTATACTTAGATCCAAAAGATTGGATCTATTCTCAATTTTCATATTCCATTGTAAAATTAATATTTTGGTGAGCTTGGTTGGTGTCGAACAACTTTGACGCATGCTTTATATTGTCATAAACGATGAAAGTATCACCCACACATCTGCAGTAATGTGTCATTTCCTTGACCGCAGCATTCAGACTTGTTCGCTCGAGATGAGCCATGAATATATGAGCTAGGATAGGTCCTAATGGTGAACTCTTAGACACTCCATTAGTTTGCCAGTACAGTTGATCATTAAAGTGGAACTGAAAAACCTTTTGTACAGAGGAGCAGTAATTGTTTGAGTACTGTTTTCGGCAATAGTAGTAGATCAGACTGTTGACAGATTATGTCTATCGTTTCATCCACTTGCATGTTCGTAAACAATGAGGAAGCATCAAATGATACCATTAATTTATCTGAAATATCTAATCTATCCATATGAATGATTCAAAGTACAGTGAAAAGAAAGAAACTTATTATCCAGAACCCATACTTTGTTCTTTCTGTTGCTAAAAGCAGTCAAACTGCATGCCTTATGAATAAATATTCAGTTATATGGGACCATCATATAAAAGACTGAAGATGTTTCAAATAGGATGCGAAGATTAGATTTGTAGGGTAAGTTCTATGCATGTGGTGATTACTCCTTATTTAATTGATATGCTAGATCAGTAATTGACCGGTAATAAGATACAACGTTCTGAACGAATAATATTCTTTCCAATAAATTCTCATCCACACTGACAAGGATTATTGAAATGAATCACAGGGTTAATACGAAAACAGCGTTTAAGATATTATACAAGAATAATCAGGGGCGCATACTGAAGTTTGCCGAAGCGTTAGCCATTCGTAAACTTAATCCCCCGCTGTGTGTACAAAAACAATTTGTTGTTTCACTTAATTTACCTTGGTAATCCTTATCTGATTATATTACCAAGACTAGTGTCACAACCTTTTCATATTCATTTGACCTTTAATTTTCATATATAAATTGATCAGATTGTTCGAAATGTATTGCGCAAATACATCACATTTTTAAGATAATCTTCGTCTTATAATAGCGTTATCGAAAGTATTCTACACTCAACGAGAAATACGCTGGACTTCAGGAACTCGTTAAAGTACCTTCGACGCAATGGGATGCTCAGGAGAATTGTAAGATTTCAAACGACTAGCGATTCCCATAACATTATTAAAAAGCACCGATCTGAAAAGTTACTAAGAGTCTCTTGGAAGAAATAAAATCCTAACTAGTGTGATATCTTTAAAAGTTGTCCTGATTTCAAGCCATAAAATGCATTTTATAATTGTAGAACCTGCTGTTCTTGGTTCAAACTGTTGCTTTTTATTAATTTTATGGGAAGTTTTAGATGTTTGAAATCTTAAAATTTCTAAAATTAGTCTTTTAAACAATTGATGGGATGAGTTTACAGTCCAGTCTGAGGAAGTTGGTCATGCATACAAACAAGCACATGAGTAAGAGGATTAGTTTTGTTGTGTCGATTTGTTGAAGAATGAAAGCACCTAAAGTCACTGAATGAGCAGTGAGATAAACATTGAGTGGAAATGAAAAAGGGACTGAAATTTTGCTGCGTAACCTTAAATGGCTTATGAGTTAATCTTTAATACATCTTAATTGAAGTGGACAGTAACCGGTTGAAAAATCTACCCAATACTAATATTAATTGTATCACAGGCAATACAAAATAAGTATGTCCAGCGCCCCCGATTTTCCAATGTTTCTCCAACTGATATCAGTCCATGATAAATGCCAACCTGAAAAGACTACTTATTCCTTAGACATTATCGCCATTTAAGCTGCTTTTTAGGTACCCCATTCCTTGTAGAGTAGAGCAACAACTTAACCCACAAATATCCCATTATTCTACACCAATGTATTCCAAAAGCAAGATGCAGTACTCATTTTCAATTTAGGATTAATCCCCAAGTAGCAGCTAACTATACTGCTAGCAAAATAATTCCCTACACTAAGAAAATTATGAGATTTCCTACTAAAAGAAAAGTTCCAACTCAAACTGCTAATATGTTTAGATCTTGCAGAGACAAAGATGAACCTTGAATAAAGGCGGCTTAGTTCAACTTGCTGCATTTAACAGCACAGAAAGAGGGGGCAAACAGAATATTTAAATGCAATAGTGCAAAAAGATAATGAAACGTTTAAGTTACGAGGCCAATGAAGATTGATTATATCTACGCCACTGTGACTTAGGGTTAAGTCACCGAAAGCTCAATTTCTAAAACCATAAGGGCCATAACCATGTAGCCTAAACTTTCCTACACGGCTAGGACAAACGAAGACCTTATGAATTGGAGCCACGTCCTGACCTGATCACTCCATGCTTTAACTCGGAAATACTGCATTTTGGGACAAATGTTAGGCCTGCGCACCTCAATTCCTGTAGGATCGCAAACTTCTCGACGTATTTAGCTTCCTTTACCAGCATTCTAAACCTGAGTTATTGTTTATGTGGTGCTTCATTGACAAGCAGGTGATGATATGAATGCAGCGGTGCGCGAATACCTGAAACATCCTCACGATCCCCAAGCTTTATTGCAAAGTTTCATTCCCATAATATAGCTGAATGTTTAGTAAACTTAACCCTCAAAAGACGATTAACTAGCAGTGTACTCAATTACTGCCTTATTGCTATGCGAAGTAGCAGCGTAGACCGATTCTAAAGCAATTTCCATTCAGGGGGCAAAACTCAAACCCAGGAGTTTACGAATTGCCTGTGTTCAAAAGATCATCGTCTACGCCTACAACTCTTGTATGATACTCTGAGTGAACCAGGTGCCCTACGAATAGCAAGCTAATCCCTAATCAGCAGTTACGCGAGGCCACAGCCATCAGTACGTTCAAAATTGTCAGATACGAATTTCACGAGTAGACTTACATTAGTAAACAGAGTTATCATCTCAAATGATAACTTTTCATAAATCACTACATGGCTATAGTAGTTCTAGTTAAGAATTCCCGTTATTGTACGTTTGCTCAGTGCTACCCCCGTAGAAAACATTGCCTCAATGCTCCCCTCCCAATGAAGTCAAGCTCTGTCTAATACCGATTGCCCGTAAACTATACAGGTGAAACAAGTGCTGCTTCTCTGTACGAATGGTATTCAGTTCGTTTACCAACCAACCATACTGGCAAATTAATGTAGATGACATTGTGTAACCGCTAGGACACTTTTGTGGCTAACCTAAAGTATACAAGTCTCCACTCAGCCATAAAGCAAACAACACATCTCAGGTATGTTGATAGTACTTTTTCTGTTTGTAACAATATGAACCGTGCATCGGTATCGTTTGACGCTTTCAACCGAGTCCACCCTAACATGAATTTTGCAATAGAACGTGAAAACACTCAACTTCGTGGATCCAAGTGCGTTGCACAGAAATGGTATAACCGAGGAAACTATACACAGAAAACATTTATGAACAGGCTGGTGAATCAACTACAATAGGATGAAATATGAAACGATGAAAAGATTTGTAGCTCATGATGAGCAGTTTGGTAGTCTTTCGTTACACACCCATTTAGAATACCGCTCCGGCTTCGATCAGTTACTGAGATACGAGAAATTCAAAATTTGGCGTTTTCTTGATACGTAACTACAATGTACCGTTTGAAAATGACTTCCAGTATGCAACCTCTCTGCAGTAATTTCCTTCAATGGATTTCTAATGTTCACGGTTATGATTGGTTATTCCTAAAATTCCACCTGAACTGGAACGATAGATCAAAACGCACACAGCAACCTTGTGCAAATTGGTCCAATAGGTAGTGGACAGCACCCATTACGACAGATAAAGATATTACCTGGCTGTTCAAACCTCGTTAAGTGGAGAGATATTCAAACTCCTGACCCATTGGTGAGAGGTCAACCACCTAAACCAATGAGTTACTGAAAACGACTATAGATGAAACCCTAAATCTTACTCCTTGACTCCGAAAGTTCTCAGTTTGCGTCGACGCACCATTTCTAGAATCAGTAACTGCCTTTAGCCGCTGCTAACCTTTATCCACTGAGGTAACTTTAACAAGCTGACCGACCTATCTACCGCAACATACAATTCAAGCTGAGGTCGTATTATGTTAGAAGAAACATATGGGTGATTAGGTAAAGACCTGGTACTAATACATGAAGTTTATGGCTACTGATCTGAGTTGTACAGCCATCTAAGTTGGGACTGAAGAGATAAATCGTTATAATGTAACTTATCCAGTACATGTACGAGACTATAGTCTTTACTGTAACGACTTGTGATACAATCCAGTTGCCTAGACGACAAAAGGTGGAGTGGCATCTGAATCTAGGATTCATAACTTGAAAGTCGAGTTCCCAACTTATTGACTCTCACACGCCACGCACTAGAAAAGGAGTCCGCTGAAACTAGGGAACCTAAGGTTTTGAGATCAGGTGATACAACTCCGATTCCACAGTATATATCTTCATTTTTGTCCCAATGCCACATTTCATTATTTGTTTTAACTCCTCCTTTCTCGCTTCATAGTTTTCTCTGACTGAACTACATTATTTTCATTTCTTTGTGTTACCAGTTAACAAATCTGCTAAAGTGGAGTCTGACAAATGGAGCACTATACACTAACTTCAGGTCCTACTGTAATGGGTATTACTGATCAGAATGGATATAAGCAGTACTTTTTGAGAGTGTGGGAATTACTAGCAATGGGTAAGGATGCTCCTCAGAGAAACGCATAAGAACGCGGACATATTAAAAGCAAATCAAGACAGAAGCAGAACGAGAAAGGAAGCACATTACGCAAATAACGGTATTAGTGTAAGGTGTACCGTACTTGATGACTATTGTACAAGATGTTAGTAGTAAACATTCCTTCCTTCGTTTCTGTCTACTCGTTTCCTTCACTACTTTGCTTGTGTCTGTTTGATCGCTACCAACAAAAAGCAAATTATGCAAAGGTCAGTGTTTGCCATGTCCATGGTCATTTACTAACAAATAACTGAAATATGAGAAATTAACAGGTCTGAGAAACCCCAGTTTTCAGGCTAAGTATTATGTGTACACACATTTACTGAAAAGTTGGAGCTACAAAAGTACTTGCTGTAGACTACTGAGAAAACTTAGTGGTACATCCTGTCACTACTCGGTCACGTATAAGTGAAATACAGCTGAATTAGTAACACCAATTTTTCTAATCATAACTTTGATTGTTTCTACCCTTAAACAGAACATATTTATGAGAAAATGTACAAATTATTCACTAAAATTATTGGATCTAAGAAACATGAAAATATATTTAACATCAACCTCGGTTTTCAAGAGCGTGAGACAGTTCTTCATATGCCTCAACAGCAATTTGAGCTTCCGCCTTTCCCAATTCTGTAGTAGCACTGGATAATTCAGATTGTGCTCTAGATATTCCTTCTCTAACCGCCTGAATGTCCAGCTGATCAAGCGAAGCTGCCTCTTCAGCAAGAACTTGGATGGTTGAGTCGCTGTTGACAGTTACGATACCGCTACTAACTGAAAATCAAGAGAATGGAGAACATTAAGGTTGCGTTGAGTAAGTCACTATTAATTGTTTTACCCAACAACAGGAAATCAGCACTCAAAGGGTGCCAATATTAACTGATTTCCCTGCAAAAAATACCTTCTAAAGTACAAACGAGTGGGAAATAGTTTGGTGGAGAGATTCCTTCCTGATGTCATTGCCTCATCTAACAGAAGGCAGTGGAATCGGTAAGCATGTTGGTCGCTTCAATATATTCTATTATAAGGTTGTGAAACATGGTTATTAAAGGTAGTCAACATAGGAAGGCCTCAGGTATTTAACCACCGTTACCTTCGTACCATAGACCAAATTAGTAACATAGAAGTAAGATGTGGAGTTTTAGGCGAAAAAGGTAAGTCAGTCAATGAAGTTGTGAACCTTCACCGACTATGAAGGTTGGAACAAATCTTACGCATGCCTAGTCACCGTCCGTCCTCCCATGTATTGTTACTTGAAGTGGGACTTAGATGAAACGTTAGGCTTGAAGTCTTTGACTGTTGGTCTGGGCCGTGTGGGGAATTTAAACAACTGGTGACGAAAATTGAAGGTCGGAGATTCTAGGTGGTTTGGCTCAGAATCGATCTGATTAGCTCAGATGCATGCACACATTGCCTTCATACAAATCGTCATACTGAAATTAGTCATTATGTCATTCCCTTTTTTCTCTTTTCATGAATCTAACTACTTTCTTCTTACTTTTCATCTCCATCTATTCCACCTTTATATGCTGACACGAGGTGCAGCCACACGGACAGTTACAGTGTAGTACCAGCTTGCACGCTGATGCTGACTGACTGACTGATTTCAATCCCAATGAAGCACATCAGACATTGCATAAATGTTTTAGAAAATGTCTTCCTACATTTAGTGGCATTTTATGAACTAACCACCTTTATAGCCCTTGGCCAATGCCTAAGACACTACGAGCTGAAAGTGAATGAGACCGAAAAGGCATACATAACATGTAACCAATATGCATGGAACAACCTTGAGAGACAACCGCATTAAAACCCTCATTATCTCAAAATGAATAACTTAAACAATATCACCAGCAAATGAAAACAGTACTGCGCAAATCGAGCACAATATTTCATCGAACAATTCGAGAACAAAATAGGTCTGCAGACGCTTAACACAGCACATCCAGTTTGAAATTTGAAAGTGCATTATACTAGCGACAAAAGTGGTCTACATTGATGCAAATGCCTTCGGCCTTAATATACTAATAAGAACACATGGTTTCGTTATTTTCTTCATCGCAACAGCTCACCTGGCTTTATGATTTATTAACCACTCTGAATAGTTTCGTAGTGTTATTTCTACAGCTTCTATGGTCACTGGCCACAACGCAAATATGCAGAATTTCACTACCACTAGTTATTCAACCATAAACTATTAGGCTTATAACTGCGCTACATAAGTCACGGTTATCAGCTAAAAACATCCAGTGTGAAAATAACGGATAGTTAAAATACACGTTTAAACAGGAGACCAATTGATAATGATCTACCGACCCCTCGAATAGGCAATTTATTTAGAAACTAGAAGTGCTAAAACACAATGACTTAATTACTCATTCCTTACGCAACTATCAAGTGGAAAATAGATGAAGCTGAGGTTGTTATTTAATGAATTATGGTTACTCTTCTTTTAGGGAAATAAGAATCGTAAACGCTAACTTTATTGTAATGGTTGCAAACTACTCCATATATGACATTGCAAAATACATGCCGATCGTATGGTAATACAAGACATTGCCAAGAACAGTACGACTCAACTGTATCTATCCCTTGCTTCTTTTTACAAGATTATGGTCATGTATGTTGGAATGTACCAAAGTAAAAAGTAGCAGCACATCTACGCCATAGGGATGAATAATTGAAGGTAGCCGGGTGCTCAGTTTATCGGCAGGCTTACTTGCTGATACCTTCAAATCATGTGTTTCAAAATAACATATGTAGGGAAAACCGTATTCATCAATACAAGATGGGAAACTATAGTTAGCGATGAATGATTTTGGTCAAAATCACTATTTACTAAATGAATAAGTCATCGAAAACGAGCTTTCACTTACAAGATTGGGTGTGATCATTTCAATATTCACGATCAGAAGACCTAACCACGGTTGAAAAGTCTAACGCACGTAATTAGTGACTTTTCGGGGTCTTTGAGTGCAAACATGTTCAAAACGCCTGGTCACTTATTCGTTTACTTGATAACTGTTGCATGGAAGTAGATTACATAACCAAATTAATCTATGCATCACCACTTAAAACAGAGAAAACAACCAAAAAAGAAGTGCCTAACGAAGTAATAAACAGCGACAAATTTGCATGTACTAAGTCCTAGATAACCGATATGATGGACATCTATGTATTCATTACGTATTACTAAGTATCTCCCACAAAAACCAAAGTAAAGGTTCTACTCGCTATTTCTTTGTACACAGAAACCTACGTTTCTTTGTAATTCAGAATCTAATTCTCTTTCATAAATTTTCTCGAGACTCACTTTCGTAACGATATGCAGACTGTGTGGTTCAGTATGAAACAAACATGAATGAGATATTTCGAGCTCCAATCATTTGACTGTAGAACATGTAATCTTATCATTTTAAAACTAATGTGAAGTGTGGGTCAGATACTGATTACCATATGTCGAGACGCTTGAATTTCACCCTTCGGTTAATCGACCAACTGAAATTGAAACTGGAGTGCTTTGATATGCAACTTCCTCAGTTACCTAGTTCTGGATAACTGTTTGTCTGAAAAAATTCGGGCTTATAAGTTTAGCTGAGATATTTTCATTGTCTCAGAAATATCCAACTAAAAGCACAAGCAGATTCACCAAGACCAACTGATACGACTATTATTACTCATTTTAGCATGCATTTGAAGTAGAGAATGAAACACGTCAAATGTTAGGTAAGCTGCAAACAAAAGATTGCACAGCTTGTAATGCTAAATTTACAGATAAAGAAGGTATTCTTGATTCTGTTGCCCTTCTCTTATACACTAATCTCACAAGTATTCATGTGAACACCCACGACTGACTAAAATTGTTTAGTCAAGTCATTTAGAAGCTGGGCTTGCTTAAGTGTGAGATTGTAACACTAGTTTCCACTGTGACCATTCAAAAAACAGTAAAAATGACTTACTAAAATACTATAAACTATCAAGAACACTTTCGACTTTTGTTTATCGAGAAATGTGTTACACTTGATAAGTAACTTAAGCATATCTAATGTAGTTACTCTCGTACTACTAAACATGTCAAAACGTACCAAAATACTTCTTAATATTTCCATCATTTTCAGTTACTGCAACAACACCAGGTTTCAGGCAACCAACCGTGGGTACGTGGTTTGGCAGAACACCAAATCGACCAGTTATAGTTGGGACATCAACCTGCCTCACTACAGTATTGTTGTAAAACGCTTGTCCTGATGATGCGAATGTAAGCTTTAAATCAGTCGACGTCGACGTTTGAACATTACGCAGTTGGTTTACAAACCGGAAACCAGTAACTTTTCTGAATAACTGCAACAGAAAAATATACATTAGTCCGGCAATCTGTAATTTTCATGCTGACCAGTAGTATTCAACCATTAACCTAAAGAAATGAACGAAGTTTACACACTAGCATACCGCTGGAAGTGTAGAAAATTGGTATTTACTAACTTGTACCTGAAAGGGAAAATAGGTGTTTTGAGTGATCGCATAAGCAAAGGGATATCTCCGTAGGGCCAGCTACGCACTATTTTTGTTACTTCGGTACTTGATTCAGTCGGCCAAGACATCTTGTAGCAATCCGTTTGATAGAAGTGCCGGATACTTACATCATCTTGTTGAAGGCACGGTACTCGAAAATCGTGGCGAACTGCAGCCTATGGGCAGTTACCACATTAGATGTAAATGTCGAGTTATGTTGGTCTAGTATGTTCCCCCTCCCTCGCCACCCCAAATTAATTTTGTTGCTGGTGTACCTTTGGAAGTCTTAGTCCTCATTTGGATTTAACGGGATTAGCTTTGTCACACAGAACTGAGTAATCCTGCAGTACGCAGACAACAGTTTTACTAAATGTTTAGATGATGCAGTTTTCTGAATACGTTAAGTGGTGATTCGAAAATGTGAGGGATGTTTCTGAACACGAAGGTGAAAATGGTTGTTTCAGGAATGGTTTGAACTGGTTTCGGGTCCAACAGTGAGTTACTGAATTTAACCTTTGGAAAGATAGACGTGATAATTACTTTTTTCGCTTTCGACATCAAATCTCCAAATCTGCATATTAGACTGGTACTGCTGTCTCCCTAAAGCTGTTTGTCGATCAAGAGTATCCAGGAGCTAATCATCGTCAACTCAGCTAATCACATGCCCTATTTATCACCAGTTCTCTCCTCAGCTAGGATATCTTAATTCTGATATCTAAAAAGACAGAACCTTGCATACTAACGCATAGGGTCCAAGTCCCCACACTTTATAGTAGCGTGCAACGAGAAAGTGAGTAGAAAAAGAGGAAAATGGGCGGCATGAGAGGAAGAGTCTGAAAATGAAAGCGAAAATGTTAAAGCCTTGGAAGACGTCGAAGAGTGAATTCATCTGCGCCACTGTGACCGGTTTCTGGCCATGTCAGCAAGGTACCTAAGCCACTGATTCCCATTATCTAGAGGACCCCCTAACTAGGCAGTCTACATCTCCCTATACGACAAGACCAACGGTCAGAAACTTCATGGATTGATGTTATGTCTTGGCTTGATCACACTGTCTCTTTCCAATCCAACTCAACATCACTTAACACCACATCGAGGTAGGTGGTGGCTCGGCAGGCGTAACACATGTACAGGCCACTTCAGTCCTTGAAGATTCACGACTTCATTGACTGACTTGTTTGGCGTCCTCCCCCTATCCTCAACATTGATCACTTGGTGACTCCACCATGCGTGATCAATAAAGACAATAGAGTTCAAAAACCTATAGCCTCTAGGACTTTCATCGAATCTAAAATCGAAATTCACTGAGAAACCTTGCCCACATTCGTGCAGTAGGCAACGGGTCACACCTATTGTGAACGCTAAAGATACTACTTGGTTGTCCATACTTCGGTAGGCGGAGCGGTGTTCGAACCTATTACCCATGCGGTCGGAAGTCAACTCCTTAAACTAATAAGCCATAATTCCAACGGCCATTCTCCAAAGCCGTATAGCAGGACTGCAGCGCAGTTAACTCGTCCCTTAACAGGTAGTCGAATATCTCGCTGATGGTAGAGGCGACGCAAGTTGACAAGTACTATACGAGCCTTTTGTAAACGAGTCGAGACTTTGTCAGCAGCCAGCACCCGAGACTGATGCGATTCCCCAAGTGAAGTGGTCAACGCATTCAACCACTTTGTCCCAATCAATAAACTGACAATAGTTTCAGACCAGTTTAAAGGTATCATCTTTCATTCGACAAGTGCGAAAAGCATCCCAAACATACTGAGATTTCCGTTAGTTGAGTTTAAGATACTCCGTATTTCCGTTAGCGTCTTCGACTGGCAAAACATTGTTAGCGCACCACAGGTCACCTAGGCCAGCAAGGTAGTAAATCAATCTCTGAAAGGCTGGAGGTACCTAATGTTACGTCCATTCGTACGTCCTGACTATTGTCTTTTCCTCGTCAGTATCCTCGATCAGCCTATATAACTGCCAATTATTTATTACCTAATGCTGATGCCTTATCCATCTCTTTTGCCACCCACCACTGCTCACGATCATTGCGAAAACAGTTAGTTTACGTTTGAACTGCTTTTGCTTCTCAGCGGAATCAGAGCTAAAAGGAACGGGTCTTCTCTTGTACTGATCAGATTTGACGACGTTGAGGAAATCCATTGTCTTTATATCATTCGAAAGGCAGAAATTCAGACTTCCAACTTATGGGTACGAAACCATGGAGTCCATGTCTATTTTTTTTTGGCAAATTTGTGCCTCTACAGCTCCTTCTTTAATAAGTTTGTTTATGATTCAGACAGCAATTTTCTTGAGGCTGTTCTAGGAGTTAGTTACTTGATGTGGAAAGACGTACCTAACAGGGGCAAGCTTTGTTCTTAGCTTCCTGTAGAGATGCTTGCAGATTTTAGGTGACGCTGTGGCTCATGGTTAACATACTCGAATATGAATCAGAGCCACTGGTTTGAATCTCACCCAGCCTGCTGAGGTCTGGGTAATTATTACCACTAGCCATCACACAATACATCGCTTATTGCTTAACGCAGGCACGTGCGCGAGACTGATGTTGTGATTCGGGTTTCTACGATGTGATGGCCTATACTACGCAGAACTTCATAAGTTGTATTGTCTTCGTGGGTAAAGATTATACCGCAATATACTAGGCTTGAGGGAATTAACTTAAACTTGATTTTTCGTTCTACTCAGTTGAAAATACTTAAAGAATAAAAAACGAGTGAAGCTCATCACTGTAGAGTATCCGTTTCCATACCAAGTTGGAACTCAAGAAAGATACTGACTGTCATAAACAAACTCATGAAAGGAATGGTAAAAGTACAGAAATCCGTCGGAAAATAATAACACTAATACCATGGCTTTTTCACACGAAACAGAAATCCTGCTTCGCTGAGACGCCGCGATCAGGCGTAGTGAAAAGAATAGTATATGAGCATGCGATTAGCGGTTTGTGATTTATTACTATATGCTCTTGACCGACAAACAGATTTAGGGAGACAAAGTAGTACCAGGCTGACATGAATATTTGGAGATATCGAAAGCAAAGAAGTTAATTACTAAGTCTGTCGACCGGAGTTTATCAGTCCGAAGGGAATTGCCCTAGTTTTCCGAGCCTCAGAGCGATACAAACTCGTTAAGATACTTGGAAATCTGCATCTTCCAGCTCACGCCATGCGGAAAGAAATACAAACGCGAACATTAATATGGTGCTGAAATCTTAACTGGTTTTCACTTGGCATAAAAAAGAATACAATCCCATATTTACATAACTACACAAACAAACATAATACTGTGGAGCCAATAGTTTCCCATCCAAGATCAGAAAAAGCCAAGCATCTTAAACGATAAAAGGTTCTGGGGTGTAACAGCGAAGATACACTGGACTGACAAGCGATCATTTGACAGGTGAGCTAAAGAAACTTCAAACATAGCAGCTAGTTTCCTATAACAACTAAGCACTTAAATGAGTTTCGAGGGTGAGAACTGAAAAAATCGACACTGAAGATAGAAAATAAAATGGACGAAGAAATTATTTAGATTAACAGAAACTGGAGTACCAAATCCTTACCATTAGGAAAGAGTGCAGGTTTGAGAGACCGCGCAACGGCGTTAGCAAGGTATAAACATCATTCAGTGTTAACGACAGTATCTTAAACAGATTATGGTTACCTCTGCGAATATCTACGTTTAAAATAACTAGGTTTTTCGAAGAATCTGCCACTTTTTTCGAAAAACGTTTTCTAATTGTTGGTTGTTAAGGGCGAAAAATTCACTGTGACTTTTGAACATTTTGATACGCTTTTAGGCGAACAGTCTTTAAAGGAGTGAAGATATCAGTCCGACTACCACACAGAACGGCATCTCAGATGCCAAATGATAATATTCAATCTCCTCCACAATGCGCTACGACAAGGGTCCCGAGTACTTAAAAATTGCACCGATGTTCTAAGTACCCCAACGGTAAATCTCTTTGGATGTTCGTTTTCCAAGGGTAGGATATCTTCTAATTGGCAAAGGGTGGCTGTCGCTCCATACATAGACATGGAAACAAAGCTATTGTTTCCGGCTGTAGACCAACCTCCCTGATCTCTTGAGTTGAGAAGGTTGGGGAAGGTGATAAACGACTCATTTCGTGAATAAATACCTAGTGATGTTTCGCCTGCTAAATATTATTCCATTAATACTTGCTAGTTGGCTTCTTCATAAGGCTGCTCCGTATTCCATAGGTGAACCCTAATTTCACTACCCAACTTTCTACTCAGCCCTACGCTGGATTTTTATCGAAAGCCTTAGTAAGTAATAAACCTTGCTTCTGCTGGCAGCTTACCGTCTCCAGTTAGGAAATACTTCTTTGTAACCAGGAGTAGGTTGGTCGGACAAGGACATGCAGCTAAGAGGCTTTGTTTCTGTCACGTCATTAAATTCACTTTTCAGGATGGCTTGGCAGCCTGTCGTGAAATATCCCCTCCAACACCTAAACAATGACCAATGGCCAGTCATAGTAGTCTCTCTCACGGTTAAAAAATCACCTGAAATGGACATTAGTTAAAGTATATACCATCGGATAATTCCTGCCAGTAGTGAAGACTCTTTAACCATTTTGGGCCTATAGCAGATCGTGTAAACAGAACCGTTAATGAAGGATAGTTCAGTCGTGCAGCGGTAAATTTTAGCATCTACTGCTGCGTTATGTGATTGAAGTCTTACATGTATTCCAAATCTTTTTACGCTTCAATTTGAATATTGAGCTGTTTACCACTGTGTATGGTTCTCGCAGACAGATTCTTAGCGTTATCAACCTTAAAGTTTACCTGCCATCCGAACCACTTCCACGACTTCTTAGAAAATCATGGAGAAACTACTTTTCGACAGACGTAAGTACTGTTGGTTCGCCCCCACTATCATGCTGAGGTATGAATACTAAATCCAAGATGAACGGCTCTTGTGTTGACCTACAGCGCAAAGAGCGAGCAAGGCCATGTTTGATAACTCTCTCTACGACAGTCAGTAGCACGATGTTATCAAAACACCCTAACTCCTGCGGGTATACACAGTATGCATCGGGGTCTCCTTTAATCTGGTGCCTCAGCTGCAAAGTCAGCTTAACCTGGAATCACCAACAAGGCAATTCAGACTGCGGAAAACCACCGCCATTGGTACTACGTTCAAATTAGATTTGACTCCTCAGCTCGCGACTACAAACTTGTCACTGCAGGACGCTTTTGAGGCCGTCCAAAGTGACTTCAGAACCACGTAAGCAAACTGCACCTACCTGCTACCCTTACGACCGATGACCTCATCCACCCTATTACCCAGAAGCTCTGCGGAAAATTGAAGCGAAAGTCACACCCACAAGCTGTTACTTTTTGGCTGTCACAAGGTTTCTGGGGTAGATTAGGTTCTCTAGTTTGGATACTTCACTTCTGAAACTGCGTTTCAGTGTAGCGAACAGGTGACCTTCAAATATTGGTTCGGTGCCTCGTTACCCGAAAAATAAAAATTTTGCGTGGCGCCGCTTCGGCCTAATCTTAAGTTCGGGCACCTCACTTCTTCCTTTCAGCCCACCCTCAAACGGCTACTCAGGGTGTGTCCCCGTATTTCCACCTCTGGTTCTCAACACATTCCTTTGTATGACCGTCCCTCCCTCACCAGTCACCTAACACTAATTTAAAAGGTGGCCATGTACCGGTAGTTTCATTTTCATCTTACTTTTTCCTTCCTCAAGTGTATTACCGTTGACAACCCCAGAAAAATCTGGGATAGTGTTGCGAAGTCGGTCCAACTACTTTTAGGTTAAAAGTATGTCCTTTGGAGTTTTACAGGGTCTCCACAGGTCTACGTTCCGAAAGATCATCCCGTATTCTATACCCTGAGCTTCAGTTATCACGGTGACATCCTGAAGGAAGGTTTTGAACTCTTTGGACACTTGTCGCCAGCAGGTGACTGTTCATCGACCACTCACTTTTCTTACTTACTTCGGTCTGCCCAGACCGAAATGAATTCACGTCATAAAAAGAACCAATTCGATATATTCCAGATGAAGTAGTGGGTACGGACGGTTTTCTCTGTCACAAACAGACTGAATTTGAACTAAAGTTAGTCAAACCATTCACATGCCCCCTCGCAATCTATAGCCTCTCTAGCGAAGCAACGACCTTTTAGCAGTCTGCGGGGAAATTTTAACAAATATAGTCACAATCTCGCTTAGGATTACCAAAAGAAATGTACAAAACACCCAATGAACCAGACCACAACAGAAGATGCATGCATTAAATAACTTGTGAAGTAGCCACTAAAAGACCAGTTTTGTCACACACAATAAGGTTGTTGATAAAGTGGAAGTAGACTGGAATTTCAGCAGTTAACATTATGACAGTGATACCCAATGCTTTGAAAATAATGAAGGCTGAAACGTTTCGCAATATAAAATGTCACTGAAAATGGGATCAGTGTCCATGGCCATCCACGGTAGCCTCTACAGATTGTAGCATGAGTTATACCTTAGATCTAAAGTGGTAACAAGGTCCACGATGAGGACATCGTTACGACAGGCGCTATGCTGCATCAGACCTTGAACTCCTACAGAATACATGATGGTTATGTGGTATGGATACACCAAGAGTCCAACTGCATGGTGTTCTGTTGATGCACAAGCATTCATCGCCCCCAAAATTGTTAGCGCAGACCACTTAAACCACTCATGCACCACATTCTTCATCTTCAACCTCTTTTCACACACCTGCTGCTCCGGACCGGACGGGATGGAAATAAAACACACCTCCCTCGCTTGAAACACTAACGCGAGGCAGAAGTCAACATGAACCATAAAAACAATGATTTTTATCAATTACGTCCCCATCATCTGCAGCTTTGACCAAACATCCAGTGGGGATGTTGAAGATCCTTACTCTGAACCAATAATCTTGGTGTCTCCCGAGCAACGGAAGAGGCACAGTCATTACTGGTCCAAACAGGTATGACAACTTTTTCCATACACTGGCAATTTTTATACGGAAACAAACTGCCACCACTCCTACGAGAGGTGGCAATGTATTGGACCTAATATTTTGCGACGAAATAATCCCCCTTTTGACAGATGTAGACCCGAAGTATCCAGGACGTGATCACAAGATGGCATTCTGCGCACTACCACTTCCCTCAATCAGCGCCTCAGTTGACACTTCCACCCTGTGACTAACAGTGTATAGAGACCATGGTAAGATGGACTGTGAGTTGATGCGTCTGCTGACTAGGTGCATCGACTGGGGATCATATTTCACCACTGCAGACCTCGAACTAGCCCTCGTCATGTTGTACTACAGCTCCACAACCTGTTTTGATACCACTGTTTAATTGAAAGGTTTCAAAAGACGCCTCCAAACGATAAGCCACATATACCTCCCGGTGCTCGTGGAAAATCGCGTAAACTCTAGATGGGGTACTGCCAACGTCATGGCCTCGATGTACCTCGGTTGGTCCTTGGTGTTCTTGACTCCGTCTCGTTTAACTACGATAGACATGTGAAAATTGAAGAAGGTAGTGCGCTATCTAGCTTATCCGGAGTATATGTTCTGTCAGCGTTCCTCAGAAGTAGACTGAGTTGCACAAGACATAGTATTCCTCTCCATATTTATGCCACCAAAGCTTACGGTAATTCAATAGATACGTGTGAAATATTCAGCGATATATTGGCAGCTACTTATCTACAATCTACGAGTCTTTCCTGTAATACTAATACGGTCTAGACCGTAAAAAGTATTCTTCTCCCTACAGTCACCAATGGATACGGTTGAATTCACATATTCTAGTATTAACCAACCCACTGAGACGCTAAAGTGCTCCAGCGGTGCTGGCACAGAAGAAGTATCGTCACATGTTTTTAAAATATGGTGGCCGTGATATTCCATCATTGTTACCTAAAATATCTTATCTGTCTTTAAAATCTTTTACATGCCCTGATACCTGGAAAACATCACTTATCCTACCCAGATATAAATCTGGTTCAAAAGAAATGGCCAGCAACTACCGACCAATAAATATTGCGCCTGCGGTTCCTAGAATCATGGAGTAAGCCATTGCGGGAAGCATTCTTCAGCACATGCTTAGTAGCAAAGTCATCAAGCCAGGCCAACATGGGCTCCTAGAATCGAGGTCCTGCATAACTTGCCACATTGACTTCTTCAGCTTCATGATTACCATGTGTGACCGATACCATATGGTCTTTTTGCTTTATCTAGATATCTCAAGGGCATTTGGCACAGTCGATCACTCACCGCTGATGAGTAAGTTAGTCTCTGGGACACTATTACACATTACAGGGGTGGATTGAGTTTTTCCTTGGTAATCGCACCCAAGTGGTGAAGGTAGACCCACATACCACAAAACCTAGGCCAGTCACCTCTGGTGTAGCCCAAGGTGGTGTGTTGGGTCCCCTTCTCTTTACTTTATACGTCAACGACATTTGGAGCTGCTCTGCACGCAGCGAACTATTCTTGTTTGCATGCACACTCCTTTATGCTAACTTGTCTCGCCTCCAAGCACTAGTACACAGTAAGCTTGATATAATATCCAGGTGGTCTACTGCCTGGAAACTTTGGTTCAGTATAAGCAAATGCGGGCGAATGCGTTTTGATGCTGCGTCGGTAGACATCCGGTCATATCTTCAGTCTATGAAACTACCTGTTCTTAAAAGTGTCT